AAAAAAGGTTGGTGACTCTCCGGAGGAGATAGCTGCTTTTCTTAAAAATACATCTGGTCTGAAGAAAACCTTGATTGGTAATTATCTTGGAGAGAGGGAAGATTTATCTCTGAAAGTGATGCATGCCTATGTTGACTCCTTTGACTTTCAAGGAATGGAGTTTGATGAGGCAATCCGAGCCTTTTTGCAAGGTTTCAGATTGCCTGGTGAGGCACAAAAGATTGATCGAATCATGGAAAAGTTCGCCGAGCGCTATTGCAAATGTAACCCAAAGGCTTTCATCAGCGCTGATACAGCATATGTCCTCGCTTACTCTGTCATAATGCTCATAACCCTATGGTTAAGAACAAGGTGCATATACATTCTCTCTCTGATCTTGTTTCCATTTAGTACTTGAAAATTGATCAAGTTCTTCCTTTTCCTAAATTGAAATGTGCAGTGTCAGCTGAAGATTTCATAACAAACAATCGGGGCATAGATTATGGGAAAGATTTGCCAGAAGAATACTTAAGATCATTATTTGAACGTATATCAAGAAATGAGATCAAAATGAAAGACGATGACCTGTCTGCGCAACAGAAACAGTCGGTGAACTCCAACAGAATTTTAGGCATAGACAGTATCTTGAATCTTGTTATACGCAAGCATGATGAAGACCAGCATATGGAGACCAGTGATGATCTTATCAGGCACATGCAAGAACAATTTAAAGAGAAAGCTCGTAAATCCGAGTAAGATCAACAAGCATTTGAGCTTTTATGTTGATGCCCTACCATAGAGAGATTCCTGTTTGACTGTATCTAGCGGAACCATCTTACGGGGTCTTTCTTTTTAAAACTACTTTTATGCCTTGGTATTTCGTTGGAATACGACGAAATTCTGCAAATTTTCATCATTTCTTTACGTGGTTTAAGCTTAATTAATGTGCTATGATGATGTAAATATAATCTTCCATTGTAACGTCAATTTGTAGGTCAGTTTATTATGCAGCCACAGATGTGGTGATTCTGAGATTCATGGTCGAGGTATGCTGGGCTCCTATGTTGGCTGCGTTCAGTGTGCCACTTGACCAAAGCCACGATGAAGTAGTAACGGCTTTGTGTATTGAAGGCTTCCGCAGTGCAATACACGTCACTGGTGTGATGTCCATGAAGACTCATAGAGATGCATTTGTGACTTCATTAGCAAAGTTTACATCACTGCACTCTCCTGCAGATATAAAACAGAAAAATATAGATGCAATCAAGGTTAGTAGTTTTCTTATGCTATGAATATTTTGTTAGTGAGCCCCAATATTTGAACAATGCAAAAAATTTCTATTTTGATTATGGACCTATCATAGAATTTTCCTTCTACATTGTTAACAGGCAATAGTTACAATTGCAGCTGAAGATGAAGATTATTTACAAGAAGCTTGGGAGCATGTTTTGATTTGCGTTTCACGGTTTGAGCATTTGCATCTCTTGGGAGAGGGCGCTCCTCCAGATGCCACTTTCTTTTCCTTTTCTCAGAATGAATCAGAAAAATCTAAGCAAGCGAAGTCGCCCGTCCTTCCCGTTTTAAAGAAGAAGGGTTCGGGAAGAATTCAGTATGCTGCTTCTGCTGTGATGAGGGGCTCATATGATAGTGCTGGTATTGGAGGTACCATTGGGACAGTCACATCTGAACAGATGAACAATTTAGTCTCCAAATATTCACACGTAGTCAAAACTTGAATAGCGAAGCTATAATAGACTTTGTTAGGGCTCTTTGCAAGGTTTCCATGGAGGAATTACGATCTATATCCGACCCTCGAGTTTTTAGCCTTACGAAAATTGTTGAGATTGCGTAAGAATCATCCTACTTCTCTTCTTTTGGTCTGATCTTAATGCCAGTTAAGTTGTTTATGCTCAAATTTTCTGATCTACAGGCACTATAACATGAACCGGATCCGACTTGTATGGTCAAACATCTGGCTTGTCCTCTCTGATTTCTTCGTGACCATTGGCTGTTCCGAAAACCTATCGATCGCGATTTTTTCCATGGACTCTTTACGACAGCTATCGATGAAATTTTTGGAGCGAGAAGAGTTGGCTAATTATAATTTCCAGAATGAATTTATGAAGCCTTTTGTTATTGCCATGCAGAAGACTAACGCTGTCGAAATCCGAGAATTAATCATCAGATGTGTCTCTCAGATGGTGTCGTCTCGAGTCCATCATGTTAAATCAGGATGGAAGAGCATGTTCATGGTATTGAATTTTTCTTATAACTATCATATCTTAAATATTTAATTAATTTATTATTGAACTGATAAATCTTTCCTCAGGTTCTCACTACTGCAGCTTATGACAGCCACAAGAACATTTTACTGCTATCCTTTGAAATAACAGAAAAGATTATTTGAGACAATTTCCCATACATAACCGAAACGGAAACAACCACCTTCACAGATTGTGTGAATTGCCTAATTGCATTCACCAACAACAGATTCAGCAAAGACATTAGTCTCAATGCAATTGCTTTTCTGCGATTCTGTGCCTCGAAACTCGCCGAAGGAGATCTCGGCTCCTCGTCTATGAATAGGGATAAGGAATCAGGGGATACTTCTCAATCTTCACCTCACAAGGGAAGTAATGAAAGGCAAGAAAATGGAGAGTTGATGGATAAGGATGATCATCTCTATTTTTGGTTACCTTTGTTGGCCGGTAAGGAGAAATGAACTAGTTGTTTCGATGTTACTCGGCATTTGAATTTGCTCGGTTTTTCGAAATTTTAAAAGTACATTTATCTTCATGCTCTAGAACTGCATATATTTTCTGCAATTACATTGTGTTTCGTTGTACAGGTTTATCGAAACTTGGCTTTGATCCAAGAACTGAGATTAGGAAGAGTGCTTTACAAGTGCTGTTCGAAACTTTGCGCAACCATTGCCATCTCTTCTCACTACCTCTATGGGAAAAAGTGTTCGAATCTGTCCTTTTTCCGATATTTGAATATGTGTGCCATGCTATTAATCCATCAGGTGATGACCTACCTGAGCAGGGAATCGATGGCGACATGAGCGAGATCGATCAAGATGGATGGCTCTACGAGTCTTGTACGCTGGCACTTCAATTACTCGTCGATCTTTTCGCTAACTTTTATCATACCGTCAATCCACTTTTAAGGAAGGTTCTCTCTTTACTCTTAAGTTTTATCAAGCGTCCTCACCAAAGCCTAGCTGGTATCGGAATTGCAGCGTTTGTACGTTTGACGAGTAATGCCAGTGATCATTTCCTCGAGGAGCAGTGGCTAGAAGTTGTTTCTTCATTAAAAGAAGCAGTTAATGCAACACTTCCTGATTTCTCTTACTTTGTTAGCGGGGATGGCACGCTTGAAGGCAATGAATATGCACCTAACAACCAAAGTAAAGAGGCCTCACATGGTTCTGGCTCGTCTCGTGATGATACAGAGAGCCCGAGAATGCGACGTCTTCGTGATTCTTTGTCCGATGCAAAGTGTCGAGCTGCCGTTCAGCTTTTATTGGTTCAGGCAGCGATGGAAATTTATAACATGTATCGAGCTCGCCTCTCGGCTAAGAACATCTTAGTCCTCTTTGATGCAATATGCTCACCAGATCAACAACGATGCTATATTACGTACCAAGTTACAAGAGTTTGGCCATATGACACAAATGCAGGATCCTCCGTTATTGTGTCTTGAGAACGAGTCGTACCAATTTTGCCTTACGTTCTTGCATAATCTGATATCGGATAGGCCTCTGAGTTTCGATGAGGCTGAAGTAGAATCACATCTTGTCGATCTATGCCAGGAGGTGTTACTGTTTTATATCAAAACCGCAAGCTCCGAACAGACTCCCAAAACATATCCCAATGGCCAAACGCAGTGGTTGATTCCTTTAGGTTCCGGAAAACAAAAAGAACTCGCCGCACGTGCACCTCTCGTGGTATTGACTCTCCAGACCATACGTAGCGTGGGAGACGCCTTGTTCGAGAAGAACTTAACTAAGTTCTTCCCTCTTCTTTCGAGCTTGATAAGTTGTGAGCATGGGTCAAATGAAGTTCAGCTAGCTGTTAGTGAGATGCTCAACTCCTCAGTTGGTCCGCTTTTGCTTCAAGCGTGTTGATCTTAGGCGAAATTGGAGGGATGTTATTTGGATATTTATATTTAATCATATTCCATATACGAATTTGATTCTTTGAAAATTAAAATATATATATATATATTAGTGTCGGATGCATTCATGTTCTAACGCACACACTTGAGTTTGAGTAGCACAAAACTTTGTTTTCTCCTTTACTCAATAATAATTGACATTCCAAAAGTTCTAGTTGATTTCAAGTTGATTAGTGCTTTTAAATCCGTCGAATTAAGTTGGTATCGTGTTAGTAAATATTATTGTTTTTTAATACTTATAGATATTGATTTGGGTTCTCATTTTAATATTTGTTTTGGTTCGATGTTAATGGTTCTTATTGTTCCAGATTTAATCCAATTTCTTAAAAAAATACAAAAAAAAATACGCAGATACAATGGAGTAAAATTATAGTACATCAGGTAACAATAATATTTTAAAAAAATTTATTAAGACTAAACAATTAAAATTAATCAAAAAGATCTAATTGATTTAATTTCTCAATTCAGTAATTTAATTGATTTACTTTCTTAATTTAAGCATTCAGTTGAATAAAAAAAGGAAATTTAATTGACTTTTTTTATAAAAAAAATTGACTTCAAACACTATTAAATATATATTAATTAACCTTGGAAAATATAAACCAATGTGATTAGGACAAAAAAGTGTTATGAAAAGAAGAATGTAACAATCACTCACTTCTTTTAATTTAACAAAGATAATGTATTAAATACTAAAAAAAGAGAAGAACCATTTTAAATAATAACTACATAACCCTTTGACCAATACTTAATGAACCGATTAAGTGAATTCATCGATTTTCATATCACAATAATTACTCTTTTTAATATTTAAAAGAATACATAACTGAGTTAGTCCCCACTTAGACAATGTAATCAGTTGCCTACAAAATTTTCCACATATTAATCTTTTTTTATAAGGCTAATTGCTTAAATAGGGCCCAAGTTTCTACGTATTGCTCTCAAAAGTCTAACCTTTCAAAATGGTCAATTTAAAATCGAATGTTTTTGAATCTGTTCAGTAAAGGCTGAATGTTTCCGAATCTGCTTAAATAAGAGCCCAACATTTTCGGCATCAATTTTTCCCCGTTATTATTTGTTCAGATTCGAAAACATTACAGCCTTCTTTGACCGTTTTGAAATGTAAGACCCTTATGTAAACAATCCCTAAAAGACTAGGCCCTTATTTGAGCATTTACCCTTTTTTAACCTTGAGCAACATACACTAAGCTGAATGAAGAACATAATAATACTACAAGCCAACAGAACTCATTTACTACAACGCTGAGTGTATGAAAGAATCTCTGACCTTAGCCTCTATACAATGGCCGAATTTGTTGTTCCCCCACGCTACATCCACACACTCGTATAATCTGGTTCCGACAGTCCGACTTCACCATGAATCATAATTCTATCCTTAGTCGTCGCATTTCGGCTCGGAATATGGGGCTTAAATTCAGAGTTCGTCGAGCGAGGCTTCTTATGTCTTCGCGAGAACAATCCCGCGATATTCTAACTACCTCCCAAAGGGCACCTCCGCTTATCATGTCCTTCGCATTTACTTCTGCAATTTCAAAATAAAGGTTAACGTTTTAGGGTTTAGCGTCAAGGTTTTTGCCAACGGGGAAGAAATTTGACTTACCATGTTGCGCTAAATGACACAGTGCAAGCTCAATGTGTCTCCTAATAGGTGCGGAATCATTGTTAGCGTTTTGCACAATCCATGGAAGTGCGCCATCATCGATAAGAACCGATCTACCACTTCTTATGCCTGAAGCGAGGCCGAGGTGGAATTTTTTATAAGATCATGCAAAAGAAAGACAAGAGAGCTGAGCTTAGGCCATTTCATGGAAGATGAGACCAAGCTAAATGAGTGAAAGAAGGTTTGAAACGCATACATAGCTTAAATCGGGTTCAATTCCGGTCCACTCCAGAAGATAATAATAAGAACTTTGCCAATAGACAACGAAACAATTGCAAGTTAGAGATCAAAAGACTTACCATTGGCCGATGCACGGGATTCACATTTTGCGAAGTTGGCAATTCCACGTGCAACTTGGGAAAGAACATCCGGATGTCCGCATCTCACCATTCCCAGCAAGGCCTTAATTCCACCTTCGGACCTCAGCTTTGCTTGCAACTTATCTGGAAAGAAGTACGAGCATGTTAGGGAGGCAGAAAGCGGACACCCAGATATAATGCATGAAAAGGATCTATGTTATCCGGACTTGAGTTCGAGTGTATGTTCCATTTTTTCCAAGTATTTGGAAAGTCCTAGGAGGGTTATATTTCAATACGCAGTATAAGAATATGCATTAGACACGAGTGTCGGGCATGGGTTATTCAGAAGAAAAATGTCAGTGCAACGTAGAAATGATTAAGCCTGATATAATGAAGAAAGTCTTCATGCAGTAGTTTTATTTAAGCTCATGATTTACATAGTGCTCGATATCGATTGATAATGTAATACAATAATAGCATTATAATGGTACCTAAACCCTAAAGTATCTACTCATAGATGCATCCATTTACACATTGGTTAAAATATATCTGACTACTCGCATGTCATTTCATTTCTTTTATTTGTTTGAGGAAGTGTTCTTTCCTTTAATCACCGAAGGAAAGGTTATAAAATCTAAAAAATTTAAGAGCACGAGAGGCGATACAAAAGAAAATGTAATATACCATTGCCACACAGGTTAGCTATAGCTCCGGCAACCATGCGTAGAGTCCGAGGGTCTTCAGCATCAAATGCGGTCATAGACAATAAACTGATTCCCCCTTGAATCATTATGAGTTCTTGACTGGCTTCTGCTTTGCAAAATAGAATCCGATATTAAACCCAAGTAGTTGGTTTGGAACTCAGAACTATTAAGTAGCCAAACTCTTGAGCAAAAACAGCAACACCGATTAAAAACAAAGACGGGAGTACACAGAATGAGACGATGTTGAAGAACAATTACCATTCATCGCAAGATTGGCAATGGCACCAGCTACGACTCTGCGAATAGTTTCATCCTCGTAGTTTCTGAGAAGCATCAGCAAGGAAGTAAGACCGCCGGCTTCGACAATCCTTTCCTGGTTTGCTTCTGTTTAGTAAATGGCACGTGAACTTCATTGCTCGGAATACCAAGTTAAACACGTCTCATAGACATAAATTTATTTAAGCATTTACAAGAGATAAAGCTTATCATGCAAGTAATAATACTTAAAAAAAGGGCATTACCATAACAAGAACTGAACTTCTTAAGAAATATTTTTGACAACGGTGGTAAATAAGAAGCCTCTTCGGACAAAAAAGGTGGGAAAATATTAGTTTGTCCAACTAACACAAGGATATTAGTGACGTAGCTATAAAAAAGGTAAATACATGGGTCTAATATTTTATATTTATTGCTTACGATTCTGATTTGTTTCAACTAAAATCACTCCACGACACGAGATTAAGCAATTAGCACCCAAGGTCCTTCTACAAACAATATTACCAAGAAATGCAACCAATTCATGTGCTACCCATCCATGGCAAATTAAGTGATGGCACCGGAAATCAGTGTTTTCAGTTCACCTTCGGCTGCTAGGTTGGCGACCACTTTTACAGCATGAATGCGTACATTGACATCTTCTGACTCGAGCAAAGCTAAGATCTTTTGCAGTCCAACTGGTAATTTGATAGGACAATAAGTAATTGCAGGCACAAAAAGTTATTTAACTGATATCATGGCAAAACACCTATTTTATCACCTTGATCAAATAGGGCAGCAACTGGTGTCTTATGTCCATTTAAAGAGTCCCTAACTTGAGACATTGGAGACTCCAGACCACCATAAGCATTGGTGGATCCACTTCTTCTGAGAGACCTTCTCATCTACATTTGCAAATAAAAATAAAATCAGCATGAATTTGAGCTTCCTTTTGATAAACTGCACATGCTTGCCTTTGATTTAAGTATACCATTCCATAGAGTATATTTAACTTTTCAACGCAAGGGGCTTAAAAGAATGATAACTTCGAATATCCGAATACCTGGTCAGCTTCAAAAGTCAGTTGTAACATCCGGCTTCTTAGCACAATCATTTCTTCTTCAAGCTTCTTTTTCTGATGAACCTCATCAGCCAGAGCTTGTTGGAGCTTCAAGATTTCAGAATCACCACCTTCCTAATACACCAAAAAAATCCTCATATAATTAATTTCTTATCTAGAAGTCAACAGAAGCTTAGAACATATAAAAGTATTCACTATTCACTTATCGGGCATACCCCTGAATCTGTGCACTGCCTTAGCTGACTCTTAAGTTTGTTGACCTCTTCTTCAGCTTCCTTTCGCATATGAATTTCTTTCTCTAGCAGCTTTTTGACCTCAGCAACATCATCGACGACTGAAAAACTAGGCCCCTGAAAATTATGATGAAGAAGAAATAAATTATCATAATACATGAACACGATGGCCAAAAACCCTAATGTACAAATAGGGATGTCAATCTCCCTCAAACCCGATCCGTGCCGACGAGGATGGATTAGGGGATTAAATTCCAGAACAGGAAAGAAACAAATTCCCCATTCGGAACAAGTATAAGGAATATAGCCCCCACCCCTGATATAAATATACTTAAGAAATATGTAACGGTAAATTTGGAAAATAATGCATAACCCCTTATGCAATTGAAAGTAAATAGCATGCCTATCATCAAAATTTGGGCCCAACTGGTGAGCCATGAATTTAAAGGTCACAAAAGGTACAGTTATTGATGCCTGTACCTCTCCATTACATTTATCATTCATGAAGCCATCACATCCATGCCTTCGTTGATTTTCTATCATCTTTTCCTCCAGCTTCTTAACAGATTCCATATATTCCATCTGGCACTTTAGTCGCTCCTTCTGTAGAAGGAACGCACTAGAAGTTCAGTATCAACTATCACACACTCAAGCAAGAAATGTGTTAAGAAATAACTGAAAATATAAAACCCAAGAATCAATCATCGAGGGAATGATGAATTGCAGGACTAACCTCAAAGGCATCGGCAAAATTTCTCTCAACCTCTGAAATGCGGTTTTGTGCTTCTAAATTTATTCTTTCAACTTTATCATCAAAAGCTTTCTGTTGTCTTTCATTTTCTGCAATGAGCTTGTCCACCTGTATTTCAAGCCTTCTAGACAAACTTTTATAATCAAACTCTTCTTTTATTCTCAACATATTTTCCACCTTCATAGCCTGTAAAAAATGGAGTAGTGCAACGTGTTGAGTAAAAAACTCCTACTTCTACACATTAGAGACAACGTTGCACAAAATTTGAAGAAATTAACAGATAAAAGGAATGTGAATATCATGAAATGAAATGAAATTGAGCTACGTAAACAAGAATGAAAGAGAGATTAAATTTTGAACACCATGGATCTTGAGCAAAGTGTAATTACTTTATAACTCATAAGTTATTTGATAGCAGACCAAATTTAAAAACATGATAGATAACAATCAGAGTGTTCTTATTTTTTCCCTATAAAAACTCACCCTTTGGCCAAACAAAATCGTACTTGCAGTCTCTCCTCGATGTCGTGGGGAGGGACCAATGGTCACAATTAATGAGGTTCTTGCAGTGCCTGCAAATCATGAATCTACCCCATGATAACTCGAAAAAGTATTTAATTTGCTAGAACTGAAATTCCAAAAGTGATACCTAAAAATACATAAAAGAATAGATCATAAACATGTTGACTTACATGAATATAAAACATAACTCACCTCCAAATGAATCTTTAAGCAGCCTCGTTAGTTTGGAATCACGAACTGGAACATGAGCACTATTCTCTGCTAAAGCATTAATGCACTTTCCTAAAGCACTCAGTGAAAGATTAATAGACTTGGCTTCCTCCAACATGTGTCCCTCACTTCCTGCCAAAAGTAGATTGAATCAAACCCATCCTATACCTAAGAACTCCAACTCATAAAAACACCTCCACCACTTGGGAAAGTCTACAGATATATATAGGTAGGAACAGAAAATAAAATTTTATCAGGCAAATACAAAATTTAAATACTGGCCAAATGCAATACGCAAAAAATTTCAGTCGTGAAAATGCTCTCTAAATAAAATATGCAGTTGACTAGCCACTGTAGGGAAATTAAAAAGTCCATGATATGCACCTGACTTGTGAACGCGCTCTGAACCTGCCAAATCTACCAAAACCAGCTTGCTTTTCCGGACAACAGGCTTTGGGGGTTTGGCAAAGTGAGAAGACTTGTCTGTTTCACTTGGAATGGCATCTTCCGCACTCAAAACAGATCTCTTAACATGTACCTGCACAAACATGATTGAATATACAATATTTCACCAAAGGATAAACAACGGCATGATGTCTAGAGAGTAGGAAGGGGAAGAACAGAATAGAGAGATTAATCACCATCAAAATAGCATGACTGCGAGATGATTCAGTGTTCAACTTTGTATTTGCAGCAATTCGGTGAGCTTCCCCTATTCTCAACAACTCCAAAAAATTATGCTCATCCCTGATTTCTATGTGAGTTGCCCCTGGTAATGAAACATCGCCAGTTTTGGGATCTTCCACAATGGAAATATTATCATTTGCCGGATCAAGGAGATCCTGGATGGTCTCCATATAAAGCTACAAGGAAGCATTGGAAGTAAATTAGTAAAGTTCCTTCACGTGAACGTACAAGCCCACAGGAATTGAAACAGAAAATTGAATAAAAATATAAAATATCAGACATCATCTAAGGGAGAAAAAACAAAAGTTATAAATCCAATTAGCAACTAATAGAAAATAACACAATCACTTGGACATGATGGCATTGAAGAAAACTCATTCATTGAATTGAGCAATTGAGATTAAAAGAAATAAAATCATGAGCCTAACAACCTGCAGATATGAAACAGAGACAAAATCTGTTTCCGGAGAAACATTTGCTAAAATCTCCTCCAGTGAGCGGACCATTATTCCACGAGCAGAGGTATCTTCCTCACCCAATCGTCCAAGAGTAAAAGTTTTCCCCGTTCCAGTCTGGCCATAAGCCATTACAGTTCCATTATAACCATCCAAAACACTCTGCGGAACAAAATGCAACATCATTATAAGCATTTGGTTGCATGATTTAATGGCATTAATTGTAAAACTAATATAACTTTCGAAACAAAACATACCTCTACAACAGGCTTAGCAACAACTTCATAGACACGCTTCTGAGAAGCGAATTCCGTAAGCACTTCATCAAACTCGTATGTTTCCGACTCCCAATTGTTTTTACGAAGTTTAAGTCTCTTAAGCTACAGTCAGACAACAATATGATTACAAAATGATTAACTGATAAAAAATAAATAATAAAAAAATAGTAAATAAAATAAATTATTACCGCGCCATGAATCACGGTTACAAAAAATGCGATCTTGGAGAGATTTTTTTACCTCAGGCTGTAGTTCGACACAATCAGCAAAATCTGCATCTGCCACGCATTCTTCCTCATTTCGCGGCCTTAATCTAACAGCTACTCGTACTCTTCCTGGCACTGTAGAAAACATAATAATTAGCAACATCAAAGTATGTTTGGAATCACATTTACGAAAAAACGAATTCAAGAAAGCGAATTGAAAAACGAACCTCCGTCACTTCCTCCAGCGGCGGTGGTGAAAGAGGCAGAGTTGGAGCGGCGAAGAGGCGCAGATCCTGGCGAGTGATTCGAAGACGGAGGAAGTCTTGATTTGATTGAAGATGATTTGACATTATATGAGTTTGATGCAGCGAGTGGCTTAATTGTTCCCTTGTGCGAACTCGTGCCGTTCCTGTAAGCATTGGACGCCATAAGTTTCCTTTTCCAGAATCTTTTTTTCTCAAACTTGTGGAGTTTTGTTTGTTTGTGTTGTCTGTTTGGTGATCGAGAAAATTTAAGTGGAGAGGGAAAAATTTTAGTGAATTTTTCGAAGTTGAATAGAAAGAAAAAGAAAAAAAGAGTGATGATGGAGGAAAAGAAAGGGACCCACTGTGTTTGGAGATAGTTGGGAAAAAGACAGTGATGGTCTGAGTTTCATGGGTCCCCCTCACATTTATTCTGTATTTACAGATTAAAATAAAATTTCCTAAATTGCAAATATATCCATTTTCATACTCTTTGTTGTTGGAATATAATTTAGAAAAGGGTTAAACTTCAAATAAGGACTCTGATTATGTATTTTTTGGTTTATTTAGTCCCTATTTTATTTTTTTTATTAGAGGAAATGGTAGAGGTTATCTGATTATCGAAGCCACGATCGGTGTCAACTGAAGGCCTAGTAACAAGCCCTTTGCCTTTTACATGTCATTCAATCAACCTCCTTACTATAATTTGATTATTTTATACGTGATTCAGTCGACATCTTTACTATAATAAAGTAATTAAATTTATCAGAACAGCATAAAGAAGTACAATAAACGTTTCAAAAAGTAAGACACTAGAAGTGATCAAACTATTGCAACAGAATTTAATCCATCAATAACTCAAAATAATAAAACTATAATAAATAAAAAAATTAGTTAACCCTTTTTCCCACATGTAATGGGGTAAGGGGAGATATAATAGTAGGCTGCCCCCAATTTCAGATTGAGAGCAGCTTCCGTGAGAGACCTCCAAATTATGAAATGTCATCCGTAGGACTCGATCCCACGACCACAAGGTTAAGAGCCTTGCACTCTACTAACTGAGCTGGACGGACATTTCATAATAAAACTATAATGGAAGGGTCAAATATATCAAAAAATATATATAGTATAAGGACTTTGTATAGAATTTGACCATTTTGAAACCAAAAATTATTGTATGGCCTACTAGAGTGGTCTTGGTCGTGCTTACCTGTTTAGAACAGTCCATTCAATTCATAGATCGGAATTTCCCGATTTATCGTAGCAAAATATATAAAATTTATAATTAAATATAACATCAAGGAATATTTGTTATTAAATAATAATAAAAATATACTTAAATTTCTACAATGAGATGAATAATTTAATATTTTATTTCAAAATAAAAATAATCTAATAAATTCAGTGATAATGTCTATACAAACGTGGTGTTGTTGTTTATTCAGTTTTATTCATGTGTAACATGTAATGTGTATGTCATTTTCTTTAATAACATAGGGTGGTAAAGTAATATATGTTTGGATTTTTTTTAAATTTATTGATAACATATATTTTATAAATAAAATTGCTTAAATTCATATCTCATGAAAAATAAATAACATTTTCTTTTATCGATAAGATCACTTAATAAGTTCTGAAAATATTATATTAATAACGAAAAAAATATATATTTATTTGTTTTTTATTAAGTTAAGGTAATTATAATATAATATATGTTATAAGTACTCTCAACCATTAATAATGAACGTTCAATCATTCTTATAATTATTAGTGTTCGAACACGTAACTTCTAAAAATAATAACAATTTATTTAACTATTGAAGTAATTTAGTTTGTGCAATAAATTTTTTTTATAACACACAATCTTTTATCACAACATAATAAATATATTTTAATTAATATTATTTATTATATTTTTCTTATAAAAGTTAATGTTGCCACTGACTTTGGTTGCTTACGTAGAGAAGATGGGCTCAGGTACGAACACGTTTTTTACTTGATAGAAATTTTATTATATTTTTCTTTTTAGAAAAATGATCGCTTTGCCATTTTTATGTTAAGAGCTCATTTTAATTTGGGTAAACAACAAGTTTGGTCACTTAATTACTATCAAGTTTTTTTTTGGTCATCAAACTTTTTTTGATAAATTGTTCACTAACATTATGTTTTTATTCTAAAATAATTATCGGACCTTAAGTTTTAACATAGTTGATGAAATGATATGGTATAATTAATAGTTTTGATTTCTAAAATTTTTATATTATATCAAATTTGTCTCATTTCAAAATAATTAAATTAATTAAACCCTCAATATTAATAAATTTATTTTAATTTGATCCTTATTTTAGTTTTAAACAATTTAATGAATTTAACCCTATGATAAGATGATGGCATCTTATATCATCTTATTAGAGAAGATTAATAAAAATATGGATGTGTTTGGGGATCAAACTTGAGACTTGATAAAAATAACACTTAATCATTTCATTAAGATAAGTATTTGTTATATGGTTGACAAAAATAATATTTAGTTCAAAATATTGTTTTTAATTAATTATTTATATCCGATTTATCGACTGATTAATTCAGATTGATTTTGCACAGGTCAATTATGGGGCAGACCCTTCCAACTCAGTTTGTTCTATTATTAGAATGAACTTAAAAATAATATTTTAGTTTTAGGTTTTCTTCAATTATGTTTTTTTTTAATTTTCTGCAAAATAGTTTTAGATTAATTTAAGAGTAAGACAAAGCAAATTAAATGGCTTTTATATTGTTTTATGAAGAGATTTTGATTTGATCGATATAATCGAAAAATAGACTTTATCCTTTAAAACTTTTATACACTTGAATGAGAAGGATGACACTCAAATCAATTGAGTTTAGGCATGTAAACGAACAGAATGAACACGAACGAGGGTATGTTCATGTTTGTTCGTTTAACTTTAATCGAAAAAATGAACGAACACGAACATAATCGAACAAAAAATTTATTGTTCGTGTTCGTTCGTTAAGGAATGTAGCTTGTTCGTGTTCATTCATGTTCGTTCATTTAAATGATAAACGAATACAAATGAATGAACATAAACGAACGAATGTAAATGAACATAAGCGAACCCAATAAACAAACACGAACAAATGAACACAATAAATAAACATAAACGAACGTAAATGAACATAAATGAAAATATAATTTTTTTTCTTTCCTAACAATTTTAGGATTATATTATATTTAATTGTTTTGAGCTTTTTTATTTGTATTTAAAATTAATCGAATTTTAAAATATTTATAGGTATCAGATTAAAATTTATTGAGCTTTAATATTTTAAATGGGTCTAGAGAAATTGGGCTAAACATAAATGAATAGACATAAACGAACGAACATATTACTGAACGTTCACAAACGTAAATGAACAAACGAAACCGCTGTTCATGTTCGTTCATTTAATTAAACGAACACAAAATCTTGTTTATGTTCGTTCGCTTAATAAATAAATGAACATAAATAAACTTTTCCGTCAAACGGTTCGCTGAACGTTCGGTTCGTTTACAGGCTTAATTAAGTTCCTATTTGTATGTGAGATAGGTGGGGTAAAATAGTAAATAAGACAATGATGATTTTAAACAAAAAAACAAAAAAAAACTCTAAAATTTGATTAATAACAATTGATTTTTTATATTTAAAAAATATTTGTTGTTGCCTAAAAATTTATGAAAAAGGATATCTGAAAAATTTTGGACAGACAAAACCTTTTAACTTCAGCTTAAAAATACGTTTTAACAAGCTTGAAGCATAGTTTTGTATTAAACTAGAAAAATGAAAAATGCATGAATCAAATTAGAAAAAAAATGATAAATTCATGTATCAAATTAGATAAAAAGGTACCATAATAGAAAAAAATGATAAATTAAAGTATTAAATTATATATTAAATCATCCCCTATATGAAAAGAAAGAGAGAGTAAAAGGAGGTGGACAAGTCTGTAATAACATAAAGGGTAAACTACATGTCTTGTCACACTCCCAACCTCAAATTTAAATTTATTAAATAAATTATTTGATTTGAAGGACTAAATTTAAAGTTTATGAAACTTTTTGGGCTAGTTTCCAAAACCTATGAAGTTTAACTATGAATTGTCTCATTTTTCTGATCAGGTGAAAAATAAAAAAATGGGGATTTGGTGGCTGATACCTAAACTATTATTTTTATTCTACTTTGGTATCAAAACTTATTTTGTTTTAAAATTATACCTAACGTTTACTTTAAGTTTTATTTTGGTACTTGTCGTTAAAAAATTAACAGAAACGCTAACATGATTTTTTTAAATTTTTCAATAATGATAGGCATTACCTTATGATATGATTTTGAAATAAAATAAAGTTTAAATATCAAAACGAAATAAAAGTAATAGTTTAATTACTCAACATAAAAAATCCTAGGGTGTTGTCAATTCACCTAACAACATGACCTCTCTAAGGAAACTCATAAAGTAAAAATATTTAAAGTTAGGAAGTTGCAGGGTTCCTGCTTGTAATTTAACTAGTGATGGAGCCATTACCACCTAAATATGATTTTTTTTTTCTAAATTTTTTTAAGTTGACATCTGTTATCTTAAAATTTTAATTAAAAATAATAAATGTTAGGAGTTTAAATTTGTCATTGTGTCTATATTTTTCATGAAATATTATTGATATTAAAATTAACTAATAAAAAAGAAAATTTGTTATCGATAATATAAGGGTCTGTTTGTTTCATTGAAAACGTTTTCCAGAAAATGATTTTCGTAAAATGAATTACATTTGCTAAAAAATATTTTACGATATTTAGAAGATGTTATTTAAACTCTTTTTCCACTAGTTGATAAATTTTTTAAAAATTATTTATTACAAATATTAAATACAATAAATAATATTATTTATCATAAAACTTAATATTATTATTTTTAAAATATTAAAATAATTTATTTATTATTAAAATATTATTTTTATAATTTTATTAATAAAATTTTTAATATTGGATAAATCATTATTGATATAAAAATATTATAAATTATATTAATTATTTATTAAAGTAATAGTGTCATATTATATTTTAAAAATATTAATTAGTATATTTTAAATATCTTTATTAAAATATTATTAGATTAATATTAAATATATAAATAATATTATTCATTATTAAAAATTAATAATATTATTTCTATGAAATTAATAAATAATATAAATTTTATTAATAAATTATTATATATTATTAAAATAAAAATATAATATCTTATATTATTATAATA